ACCTACAAGAGGAATCAACGCCAGATGCAGACGACGTCCTCTCCACAGCCCCCGTCACAGTCACCAGTTTCTTCTCCCGAATCCTGCAGAAACTGTCAGCACCAGCATGGTCCAGGAAAGTGCCCTGCGGCTGATAGTACATGTCGAAACTGTGGGTTTCAAGGCCATTGGCCCCGCACACCTCGATGTCCTGCCAACAAGGTCTCATGCAACGCTTGCAACAAGCAAGGACACTTCGCCAAGTGTTGCAGGTCCACCAAGAAGCCTCCATCTCCAGGTCAAAACGTCTCTTCACAGCCCGACAGAACGTCCACACCACCGTCTCCCAAGAATAACAAAGGATGCCGACGCATGGATGATACCTCGAGTGACAGGTCCCCCAAGCCCGTCAATGTTCGTCTGTCCTACGGTACCAACTCTTCCAACCTCCTGATGATACCTGACACGGGCGCGGACATCACGGTGATTGGACCAACACACCTGGACGCCCTCAACATCCCCAGGAGTAGCCTGTCACCCACAGCCATGAACGACGTGCTCACAGCGGACGGGTCCCCGATGTCTCCACCTTTGGGTTGCTTCAAGGCAACACTACAGCTCAGTCCCAAGTCTTGCCTTGCCACAGTCCACGTCCATGAGGGCATCCAAACCCCTCTCTTGTCATGTGGCCATTGTCAGGACTTGGCCATCGTCTCATCCGAGTTCCCAAAGCCCATCCTCGCTGTGACACACCTCAACAGGTGTGCAGAGATACCTGTTTCAGCCATGACCACACCTGCTGCCGCCCGGGAGTTCTTTTTTCGTCAGTTCAGCGACGTCCTTGTCTCCAAGCCCGACCTCCAGAAGACGCCGCTCAAGAAGATGACAGGCCCCCCGATGAGAATCCACCTCAAGCCTGGCGCGACGCCTTTCGCCATCCACACACCCAGGCCTATCCCCTTTGCCATACGGGACAAGGTGAAGGCGGAGCTCGATTCTCTGGTGCAGCAGGGGATCATCAGACACGCCGGTGAGGAGCCCTCCGAGTGGTGCCACCCTATGGTCTTGGCACCCAAGCCTGTAGGTGTTCGCATCACAGTGGACCTCACCCATCTCAACTCGCAGGTCTCCCGTCCCGCCCATCCATCGCCTACGCCCATCCAAGCAGTCCGCAGCGTCACCCCGTCTGCAAAGTTCTTTACCACGGCGGATGCACTACATGGGTACTGGCAAGTCGACCTGGCGGAAGAAGATCGCCACCTCACTACATTCATCACGCCCTACGGCCGCTTCCAACACTGCCGCGGACCCATGGGCTTCGCAGCAACGGGGGATGCGTACTGCCTCCGTGGGGATATGGCTCTGCAGGGTGTCACCAACTGCGTGAAGGTCGTAGATGACATCCTGCTCTTCGACGATGATCTCCCGGCCCACTTGAACCGAGTTCATCTGATGCTCACAAGATGTCGTGCCCATGGTATCACCCTGAACAAAGATAAATTTGTGGTCGCCGCCTCCCAAGTTAACTACTGCGGCTACAACATCTCGCCAGAGGGGATCTCAGCTGATGAGGAGAAGGTCAAGGCCATCAGGGACTTCCCTACTCCAGCGAACCTGACCGACCTTCGCTCATTTATGGGCCTGGTAAATCAGCTGGCCGACTTCTCCCCTAAAATCGCCACATCAGCCCAACCTCTACGCCCCCTCATGAGCCCCAAGCGCTCGTTCCTCTGGACTCCTGACCACGACCTAGCGTTCAGGAATGTTAAGAAGGCGTTGCTGTCACCCCCAGCCTTGGCACCCTTCGACCCGTCCTTACCAGTGGTCCTCCAGACCGACGCCTCCCGTCTATACGGCCTCGGATATGCCCTCCTTCAAGACCACGGCCAGGGTAGACTGCGCTTAGTTCAGTGTGGCTCCAGGTTTTTGACGGACACGGAGACCAGATACGCCACCATTGAACTAGAGATGCTGGCAGTCGCCTGGGCTATGGCCAAGTGCCGCCTTTACCTGTTCGGCCTTGGGCATTTCACCCTCATGACGGACCATCGCCCGCTCATACCCATTCTTAATCACTACACGTTGGACGCCATCGAAAATCCTCGCCTCCAACGTCTCAAAGAGAAGACCGCCCCTTACGTCTTTACAGCTGTGTGGCGCGCCGGGAAGCTTCTGTGCATACCAGACGCCCTCTCCCGAGCCCCTGTTAGTCGCCCCACACCTGAAGATGAAGTCGACTGTACCACGGCCGCTGCTCACGTTCGGTCTTTAGTGACACACACAGCCACTTCTCTTGCTGACAAGACGACGACGACGCCCTCCATCGAAGACGATAGGACTCTCCAGGAGCTTCGCATCGCCGCCGCTCAAGACCCGGCATACGTCCAACTCCTCGACTACGTCTCCGCTGGATTCCCCACCAACCGCTACGACATTCACGCCTCCGCCCTCCCCTTCTGGAAGCTAAGGGATAGCCTCTATGCGGACGGAGAGCTGGTGTTGTACGGCCCCAGGATCGTCGTTCCCGCTGCCCTCCGCCGGCGCACCTTATCCCGCCTCCATGACAGCCACCGCGGCGTTGAAGCCACCAGGCGCAGAGCCCGTCAGACCGTCTTCTGGCCTGGTATTGACGCCGATATTAAGAGCACGGTTGAGGCCTGTGAGCCTTGCCAGCAACTCCAACCCAGCCAGCAACAAGAGCCGTACCTGTGCAATGACCTCCCAAAGCGGCCCTTTGAGTCCGTGTCCGCCGACTTCTTTAATGTGGCCGGAAAGTCTTTCCTGGTGGTCGCCGACAGGCTCTCTGGATGGCCCGTGGTAGTTCCCTGTGGTCGGGACACCACCTCTTCCAGGGTCATCCGGATGTTTTGTTGCTTCTTCCGGGAAGTCGGAGTGCCTCTCCGCCTCCGAACCGACGGTGGGCCCCCGTTCAATAGCCACGAGTTCAAGAGCTTCGCCGAACGCTGGGGCGTCCACCACATCGTCACCTCCCCTCATTACCCGCAGGCGAATGGCCACGCCGAGGCAGCGGTAAAGTCCGTAAAATACCTCATCCTCAAGACAGCACCGACGGGGAACCTGGACTGCGAGGAGTTCGACAGGGGCCTACTGGAACTCCGTAACACCCCTACCCCTGCCGGACGCTCTCCTGCCCAGGTGTTGTATGGCCGCCCCCTTCGTACTTGTGTGCCTGCCCACCCCCAGTCCTTCTTAGATGAATGGCAGATCAAGGCGGACGAGTGTGACCGCCGTGAGGCTGCCCGGATGGCCCAAGTGACAAGCCACTATGACGCCCAAGCCCGCCCCCTTCCCAGGTTGGCCGTCGGCCAGCAAGTACGAATCCAGGACCCGACGTCACACCGCTGGGACAAGGTCGGGGTCGTCATGGGCCGTGGCGAGCCTCGTTCGTACCAAGTCCGCCTCCCCAGTGGTCGTGTGTGGTGGCGAAACAGACGCCACCTCCGCCCAGTGCCATCCTCTAGTGACGAACCTTCCTCCCCGTCCCCTGTGTCCCCTTGCCCAGACCAGGAACGAAGGTCGTCAGTTGATCCTCCCATTGTCCCTCGCCGCTCCCCCCGACTCATGGAAAAAGAGTCCGTAGCCGCTCGAGATTGCACTACGAGCGTAAAGGGGGAGGGAGGTGTATAGATATGTACATACCAAGATGTGTGAACGCGCCTGACACCAGGACTCTTGTTACCATTCGTTGTACCATTTATTCGCATGTCTGTATCACTACATATTATTATAGCATGTCTGATGTCCATGCTTATGTCTAATGCCTATGTTCATTTACTATGTCCCGATGTACTATGTCTGTACCGCGCTAGTCGAGTAATTAGAAGACCTCATTTATTGTCCTAGGAATGTCTAGCAACTCTCTTTGCCTGGCTAGCTAATTTCCCTCAGATCGGCCTCGGCCTACCTACGGTCCGGGGTCCCTAGTAATCGCTCCTGTATCGGTTGGCTATCACGCCCAATCTTGTACACTTACTGAATATACCTACTGCTCGTGCTATTGGAGTTTCAAGAACCTTGTCCTGGATTACATCCACCACACCACAGTGTCAAAAAAAATTTCCCGGTAACAATCAACTTACTTGACACGCTCACTCTTTATATGACTGATTTGTGTGTTCGCATCCTGTAAACACCAGTTGGTGGTGGTGAATGTTAGTGGCCATGATAAGTGTTGGTGATTGTTGGTGGTGGTAAAAAGTGACCCACATGGCCACTTCAGACGATATTGGTCCAAGTCCATTTTTCTGAATCCAGATATAACCTACTTTTGGCTTCAATGGATCGGCCTACCCCTTCCAAATTAGTCCATTATGTCAGGGGTTTACTGTAGTATAATACCAAGAGTACTCACTGAATATTTACAATAAAGGAGAAATAGAAAACTATGTAAGACCAGTCTACATGTTAGGAAGCATTGAGAGTCACATAATCCCAATTTGTACTAATGAAACTGGCTTATTGTTATTTAATGTAAATCAGACTGAAAGCTATATACAGTATCAGTACCCAACATTAGGTACTTAAAAACCACACAAACAAACACCGTACATTGTGTGCCTTTTTGTAGATTTGACACTTGACCTTCAATTATGATCTTGACCTTTGATATAGATTTAAATTTAGTCTATAAAATGTCACTACAATAGTAATACTCTCCACAGGGTAAGGTTTGTACATACACCCAGGCAGATGGACATACCCTTGTTTAAAATACCTGTGTAATGTATCCCCTTTTTTTCTGTCAAAACCAAGTGAACAATATTCCATTGGATAATTTATATTTTTCTCAAATTTTACCATCATAACAACTGCAAAATATTTATTCCCAACATACATGTTTAAAAAATAAGTACATAGTAAATACCTGTATCATGTGACATTTTCTAATATTAAATACTGTACAGTATATATATATATATATATATATATATATATATATATATATATATATATATATATATATATATATATATATATATATATATATATATATATATATATATATATATATATATATATATATAAATAAGGCACTGTGGCTATAATTTCTTATTTTTATATGAATGTTTCTATTGTGTAGAAACAGTTTCTACATTTTTATTGGATCTTGGCTGGCTCTCTTGTCCTGATTTTATGATCAGGGCCACTTGATTCTTGAGGTGACTGTTTTGATGATGTATGGATCAAGTTCTTCTGCAGCATCCATATGGAATGTCTAGGGTCGCTTTTTGTCAGCCGTGGACACTAAAAGTAGAATACAAAGTGTAGAATTTTAGTGAAAATGTTATGATAATGGGTATTTATAACACTTTCTTTTGAATCTTAAACTAAAAAAGAAAAAAGTTCAATTATAATACCGTGAATGATAAAGGATTCTGCACAGGCAATGACCAGATGGGAATCAGGTACTGTCCTAGTGTTTTAAGTACTAAATAATACTCTAAGGAGTTGTGTTACAGCTAGTGATGTAGGTATCTTAAGAATTTTTTTCCATGTTTCAGTTTTGTAATTTTGCTCAAGACCTTTCAACACCACCAAAATTTATAAATTTTTCCGGTCTGTAGTCAATTACTGTAGTTAAGCTTAAGTTCAGCTAAGGAGCAAGAACTCACCTTAGGTCAATACTGTAATCTACTACCTGGACCTGGTTCTTAGACAAGGTGACTGACCCAAATCAATCTGGTACTGACTATTCTAACTGCTGGCCTCTAGTGCTTTGGTTGAGTGTGGGGGATAATAATGAGGCCCCATACATGCTGAATATCAGCAAGTATGCTACGTTGATGTTTCGTAAGTATAATGAATACTTCTCATGTTTTAAGGAAATATAAATACCCTGTACAGTATTGGTATAGTTTACATCCGGTTATGATCAATATGCCAGATGTAATAGATATGACTCCAATAAGAAGGAAAGTGTGTATATTTAAATACTGTATATGCCAGTAGAGTTTGAACTTTTATGATAAAATATTTATGCAAAAGGTAGGGGGTCAAACTATATAACTGTACGTACACGTAATAATGTTGAGGGGTTAAAATTCACGCATTTTTGTGGGTGATTTACAGTGAACGATAACTACCCAGTACAGTAGCGATCAAAAGTAATCATCTACTCCACCACCTAATCCCTGCTGTGCCTTGCTGGGTCCTTTCTGCATGGTGAGTCATGTTGGGTGGAGGGGGGGAAAGGCTGTTTTTTTTTGGGGGGGGGGGTATATAAGTTGTTCATCAGAAAGCAGGGAAATCATGAAAGAAGGAAGGGAAGGATGAATGTAACTCTTTTTCACTATACAGTGATATCCCTATTAGCCAGAACAATTGGTGCAGAGGACTTCCGGGGATGAGAGATTTCCGGGTGACCGGACGACTTTCTCAAACCTGGAGAAAATCCTTTTCCCCGGATTTTTTTCCGTTTACTGGGAAATGTTTCGAGTGTCTAAACTAAGCATCTTGCACAGACAGACTCTAGCCCACATCCCCAGAATGTTTCCGGGTGCTAGGGAATGTTTTCTGAGAGTCTAAACTACCCGACTCTGTCAAAGCAATTCTAATCAAGTTAGAAACTCAATTTCTTTACTAGAATAATCCAGAATAGTTTATCCAAAAGTTTGGTTAAAGAAATACATTTAAAACCTAAAAATCTGTATGATATGGTTGTGAATGAAGCTGTGTTACAGCGAAGACTGCTATTTTTCACACCCATGGAGCTGTAGGGGATTAGTGGGTTTCATGTAACTGACACAATGTTAGGTGGAGGTAGGGTGGGGGATTAGTGGTCATGATCTGAAGATGTCTTGAATAAAGACAAAAGCCAAAGTAATTTTGAGGGAGACTGTAGTAAGTACATATAAATATAAATGATCAACATTGCATTCCTTCAACATTACATTACATCATATTTTAAAACATGGAGTGAGAAAGCAAAAAGGTGTGAGTGATTAGAGAGATTGAGTGGAAAGAATTGGTAACATGCATCAATGTTGCCAACGCTCCTGAACAGCTGATCTTTAACTCGCCACCACGCAGTCACACGCACGCAAATTTGTCGTACAATAAGACCCCTCACTGGATGCTTGCTGTCTTAATTCCCATGTTGGGGTGTGTGTAGGTGGTGTCTGAAATGGGGGGGGTTAAGTTAGAGGAGACAAAAAAAAAAGAAGCCATACTGGTGTGTCTGATCGCGAGGCAAAAGTTTCATTTTCATTATATCAAAATGCCACTTACATGTGTACGACCCAGAGAGTGTTAAGTTTCTGCAACACAGATTTGCTTAACGTTATTCTCAAAGAATCTGACCCCACATTGGGGGAGGGCTTATTGTACAGCTTCTTCCACTTCCAACTATAACAGTGTTCTCAATCCACCCTCAACATGTGGTGTTAACCCCGGGAGTATCGACTCTTGGATCAGAAATATTCACAAGTGTGGAAGAGAGGGAAGCCTTGGAGGACTGGAGCCAGTGTGTGAATGGGAGGTGGGGGTAATGCAGGGGTTGTGAAAGGTCAGAGATCAGGGGTGGGGGGCACTAGTGAGGTGAGAGATTTGAGCAGTTACAACACAGGATATATTAAGCAAGGATATAAATATGTAGGAAAAATCACAAATCATGAATGGAATATGTTACCACACATTAGGGTAATATTCCCAGCTTGTGCTACAGATCTGAACCATTGTATGCATATTTACTATCCATAATTTACGAAATAATAGGCCACTGTGATAAAACAATCCCCCTCCCCCAAGTTGCACACACATGCATCGGTCATGTTGTATTTAAGTCCTTCCCTCCTCCTGCTGAAACCTAAGTAACTGTTACTTAATACAGGGGTGACAGGGGGATGGGCTGGGGCCTCTACATATGGTCTCTGTTTACGACAGGGTTACATTTGTGACCCAATGAACTTTGTGACCCACAAAGGGTAAAAATTAGGCCCCAGGATCAATTACCCTTAGTTCCCAACTCATTTGATTGCTGAAATAGATTTGAAGGGAGATGCATTCTTCACCCAAAAATGAGTGTTAATTTTTAATTTAATTTTCACTTCACATGACACACTACTCTTCAAGCACAATTTTAAAACAGTGGCAAGAAAATTCTGGCTCATAATGGTGTAAGTCACAGTTCAGCACAAAACATTCTGGTTATAAAATAAGATTTCAGGATCAATTTATCATTTATGACTGACATTGGATCAGGGAACTCAAGTAAGCTTAAGCTAACTAGTACAAATGGAAGGACAGAGGCAAAACCTAAGGCTTACAATGAATGTGGCATCAACTTGGTTTAATTTTTTTTTCTCTAACAAAATTCACAATATTATAATAATGTAATGAATGATTCAAATTATATCGCCGTGTGAGTATGCACCCTATATATTTCTCTCTCATGTGTGTACCCATAATGAAACATTGTAACAAACATTCAAATATTTCATGTAAATTCATACAGTACAGTAGTTGCGCTGAAAATGCAGAACGCAAAAGTCGGATGTAATAACTTACTTGACAAGCCTCTCGTAGCATAAGAGCTTCAGACATTTGATAATCTAACATTTCTTGTCGGTCAGAGTGTGAAGGATGTGTTGAGAGCCAAGCAGGCTCTTCGCCTACCTCACCACGTGCCTCCCGGAGTTTATCCATCACTGACATCTGACCCCAAAATGCACTGGCCTCTCGTACATCAAAGCAAGCCTGGAGATAACAGTTATTGGGTCATTATTGGCTATAGATGATGTAGTAGACAGCTATCAAACAGGGAGGTACTACCACCTGGGAAGATATTGGAAGCATAACGTGTTATCTAATGGTGGACCCTGCTGCCATATGATCATGCAACCTCAAGTCAACCCTTTTTACAAGTTTGGCTTGCATGATTTGTTTCCAAGGATATACAGGTTATGTACTTCTTTAGCTGTAACCCAGATTACCTCTCATTATCTTCTGAATCCTCAAGGTGGGTTTTATGAATCTGGTGTGAGATATTTTTGAGAATAATCACATATACAGCCTCAGATAATGACCACTAGTGGGTATGTTAAATAACTAATATTTCATGAAAATTATACAAAAACACAGTAAAACCATTGAATTCAGACTCCTTGACTTATATTTTGTCTCGGTAGGAAGTTAGAAACTGCTTACAGTCTGGCGAGTTCCTCAAATTCATACCCAAAGGCAGTTTATGTAAAAAAAAAATCCAGAATACACAAGCATAACCTATATTGCCATTCCAGACAAGCATAACATGTTACCAAGACCTAATGTTGTTTAATGTAATGATCAATTACAACTGCCAGGCATATATGTGATATTCTCTTAGTTACGGCACATACATAACAACATACAGAATCTCGGCCCAACACCTTTATATTTCCTTTACATTATACCTGTATAGCTACTGGGATAGGAGGTGATTGCCACAGTATATTTACAGGTGTTATAAGAGAAAATATTTATTTTATGCTAAGCTTAAATTTAACTAAACATAACATAACCTGACAATCAGTGATGAAGAGGATAAAGTAAACTTAGAACAGTTGCATGCAAAATGCTTGTGTTTAAACTGAAATAGGCCTAACGAGCTAAGTTGTTAGACGTGGTTTTGACAAACTGGCTAAACATGTGACATCATGCTGTTTTGCACAGGTGGTTGGCTACACTTGCCTGTAGATTTATTTGTCAGTCTGACTCTGAAGCTACCTTATGCTAAGACAAATCTTCCGGCCCTTTCTGATATGGTAGAGAAATGCTTAGTGGACATATTCAAACACAAACCAGGAAACTTGGGGGTTGACTGACTCGGGAGTCTGGCTCTGAGTGCCTCATACAGTATGATGATTGTATGAGAATGATGACACACTGAAAGCTTATTTGTAGACTTAATATCATTGCAAGTGTTAGAGAATACTGAAGGAAGATAGGGAAATAAGTAAGAATATTGGTAGTACAGTATACAAGTGCAGTATTTTAGTATTTTTCATCATTACTTGGGGGAGGTTAAAGTAGACTCTTGAGTTGTGGGCTTTTGCTGCACTTTCTTGTTAATCAGGGTAATGTCCATTTTACAATGGATGTTGCCCATTCATTCATTTAATCCTTGTCTAGGTTTAAAAGCAACTTAGTTTGAGGTTGGACAGTGACATGAATTTATGGAAGGAGATATTAACCCCTCCTAATCTAGTCTATTAACCTAGTTGAGTATGAGTTTTTTTTCTTCATAAAAACTGATTATTTTACAATAATTATTTATTAGCCCGGCACCAAATGAACCTAAATACAGTAAATAATATGGGAATTATGGTGAAATTGTATTATGTTGATTTAAAGGGGTTGTTGGTCCTGAGGGAGGGTATTTTCCATTCAGTCCAACCAGCAACCAACCTTGCTGCCCATCTCCCACAGAAATTCACTTCCCACTCTTATTTTTTCTTATTTTACAGTTTTATATTATATTTTATTTATACCTAAGTCACATAAAGCATTGTATTACAGAATTATATACGAGATATTTGAGGATGGGTTCAGTAGAGGGTTTGGTATAGAGTACAGCAAATTCATTTGGAATAGAGAGGTAATACATACTGGACTCTGAGGAGCAGTTCGGTATAAAAGTAGTTGAGTAAATTTTGGTTACTTGAGACTTACTCTAATTAACACCAACCACACATCTCCGTGGTCCTCAGACCCGGGTTTTTATACTGTACTTTATAGACTATGTGTCATAACACAAGTTATCTAAGGTTTGCAGAATCCGTTAAATCAAATATAACCAGTGTTTACAAGTTATACATTGCATCAGCAATATATCCCAATATCATAGTGAATGAATATGTGTGTGCTCTACACAGTATTTATCTTAAATATAAATATAATTACAGTAGGTGTACTTCAAATCAGGGTGACAGATCATATCAGCCTACTCCATCTTGTGAACCAAGAGGAAACAATCTGTCAACAAATAGCGGATTTTTTTTTTTTAGAAGTTAAATGCATAAGCATTAACTACTCCACAATTTGCTAAGGTTGACAGTGTATATGAACATGGTGTACAAATACATAATTTTATTGTTATGTGTGGGGTTGAATAATATTCACCAATCAGAATATGAATACTTGTAACTGATTGATTGATTGGGTAAAATGTCTGGCGTCAGAGCCTGTGGCAATTTGATGCCGAAAATGAAACTTATAATTTAAAACTATGATATAAATAAATTAAAATCCTATTAAGCTTAAATATCAAAATTAAAATATATCAAAATCTGTATTTATTTAAAAATACAAGGGGTTAAGTACCTTTATTGCAAGTAAAAATTTAAAAAGTCCACCATCAGGTACTGAACTTCTTTTGCTGAGCACCTTTGAGATGGAAAAAGATCCATCCCCCTGCTGACACTCTGCCAAAAAACGACTCCTTAAGTACCCATGACCTAGACACTACCAGCAATTGTCTCATAGTCAGTGGTACCAGGTCGTCATCACAATAGAGGCTGTGGTCCTCTGGCCATAAGGAAACTGTGGGTGAGGTGAGTGTCCAACATGTAGACGGGTAAGGGCAGTCTCATAGCGGCGGGCCATCCAAGGATACTCCCATGGATAGATCTTTTTTGTAATCTCTCCTAACTTGTTGGGAACGGATAAATTGTCCCTTTGTTACTGCCAGGACGTCCGGGTGACCGACTTGACTGCAGGAAAGAAATCTCTGTGAGGGAGGGAGCATAAGGAGCATGACGAGAGGCAGCAGACGTGACCACCTTGTTAGCCCTCTCACTACCTCCTGTAGAGACATGGGAAGGAACCCAACAGAAATCCACATTATGGCCCTGCTGACAGAGGACCACTAACTAGCCAGTTAAAAATATCTGAAATGAGAGGGTGGATGGGATTAAAAGATTCCAGAGAAGACAGTACTGCTCTGGAATCACTAAAAATAATAAAACTCCCAGCCTTATGGGTACTGATTTCTTTAAGGGTTAGGCATATAACAGAGAACTTTGCAGTAAAAATAGATGCAAAGGTGGGAAGTTCCCCAATGCAGTTGAAGTCAGGGAAGATGACTCCAAACTCTACACCAGCGTCAGATTTGGAGCCATTTGTATAAACATGCACTGAGCCATTGTGCTGAGTTGCATATTCCTGGAAATACATCCTGGCCATCACTTCATTAACATCAGCCTTGATCCCTGGGAAGTAACGACAGTAGTGCACCTCTGGTAGGTTCCATGGGGCCATGGTCGGCACTTTCACTGGGGTGTCCGAGAGTTGGGGAAGAGATAATATGTTAACCAGCTCCCGGACTCCAAAGCCAAAGGATCAGGGAATGTTTGGATGGGGAGTTAAATCTATGTTCCACGGATTTATCAGATATGGCCTCCCACGTTGGAGATCAAGGTAGATGCTGTACTCGGTACCAGAAGCGGGCCATTAGGGACTGCCGATGCATATCCAGTAGTGGTACTCCAGCATCCACCAGAACACTGGTTACTGGGGAGGATCTAAAGGCTCCTGTAGCCAAACGGATACCAGCGTGATGTACTGTTTCTATGGTCTTTAGCCTGGTTGATGTGGCTGAAGAGTACAGCTCACATCCATACACCAGCTTTGACCTCAAGACAGCATGGTACAGTACAGTCTTAAGAGGGTCCTACGGTCAGCACCCCAGGACGTGTGGGATAAGACCCTCAGAAGAAATATCACGTGGGTTAAAGATGTGAAGATATTAAAGGAGTAATGTAGGTAAATATTTGAGTTCTGTGCATATATTTACAGTATCTTGATTTATTGTAAGAAGGACAATATTTTCTTAGCCTTCTTTTCAAATGAGATACAGTATACAGCTGGAAAACTACATTTGTTTCCTTACCTTGGCAGCTAATCGTAAACCAACACAGTCAGCTTCATTTTCTAAAGATCTTGAGTAGGGCAGCTGAAGAAGAACTTGAACTACTTGATTTAAGAACCAATGTGTGACTACTGCCAGGCCATCACTGGGGATAAATGCCCAGATCACAGCCAATGGCATAAGTATCAGGACATCTAAAAGGTATCCATGGCTGAGTTGTTCAGCCTGTTAAGATAAAAGGGGCAAAAAGTAGTTACCAGTCTTGTCAATACTAGATGAGGATAATGCTGAAAAAAAAAATCACGATGTGATTTACAAAAATCCTTGACTGTACAAGTAATGCATGACTATTTACTACTTTACAAATATATTGGGAATCATCCTCACTTCTTTTGTTAATAATCATGTATCATCTACATAATAAATTTTCATACACCTTAGGTCAAGGTAACAATTTCCCTATTGTCAAAACCGTAATACTGTACTTACAGAATGTTCAAGGATAGCATGACTCATTTCATGTGCCAGAACAAAAGCCACTTGATCTTCATTCTCAAGAAGATCCATCATTCCTCGAAACATTACAATGTCTCCACTCTAGACAAAGAATCGGTAAAGGGGTTAATTTAAGATACTAGCATGGTGTAATTATTGATGCAAGCTATTAAGTGGGTCATGTGACTCCACATACACACCCACATTCAACATAAGTTCATCCATAATTCCACCTTTTATTAATGATACAACCTGATGATTAGTGCTCAAGTAACATGTCCAAATGATTTTATGCTACCAAAGGAAACACAACATCAGGAGTAAAACCGTTTCTCTGGTCCTGTGTTTCCTTTGCTATCATACTGTTTAGCCTTTTGTCCAAATGAATTTTGTGTTAACTCTAGCATACAAATGACTTTTTCCTCTCCTAGGTAGAGAAAAGTTAAATGTAGTAGAAAATAGTGATAGCTTGGTTCTGTGAAGGATTATTTCACACATCTACACGAACTGTGGGATTTGTATTACCGGTAATGTATGTGAGATGAAAGTGTGATGAGTGCATACTTTATTTTATTCCTATTTGGATGCTCTATAACACGTGATGGAATTAATGTACAGTATATTAGCTTGTGAAATGCCAGAATGTATCATAGCCATTACAGAAAAAAATTGTGATGTAAAGTATCATTATTTTCAAAGTGCTCTCTTGCTTCCTTCTCCCCCTTATAATCAACACAGCTGCATTGATCAATACCTAAATATCAATATCCGTCAAGGTGCAGAAGCTCGAGTTATAGAAATTAACATTAAAGAAATTTAAAAAGACAGAAAGAAAAATTCATATTAACGGAAAATTTCCATGAAATCTGCGGAGTTGCACTACCAGGTAACTGTAAACATAGTGACAGTTTATCATAAGTGTTAGAGCCATCTTGCCTAACAGGGATGGTACAGAAAGGCTGACACAGCATAATTACCTTAAGTGCTACTCTCAATAGTTACTCGTTAGCATAAATTTTATCACAGTTTCATGTCTATGACATTTGATTTACCGTAATAGTGGAGACATTCTCCATACAGTGGCTGGGTTGACGTGATTGGGTTAGATTGTTGGGTGTTACTGTGTTAGTACCACAGGAACCAAATGTTACCAAGGAGTGATGAATATTAACTCTGGTGCCTTAGATACTCTGTGGTGCAATGTATAGTACTTTATACTCAAAATATTGGGGTGCTACAGCAGGGACCCTCCCTTCCCACATCCATGTACTGGGTGGAGTGAGCCAGCGGCACCCGACCACAACAATAACAAACACCAGACTGACCAAGTGCAGCGAGTGTTACCTAAATATGCCAAGATTTTCCCAGATAATTTTATATAACTCATTTCCCCAAGTTATTTTATAATAAATTCCCAGACCATATACAGTACTGTACATGCCAAAATTATACAAAATTCCGAGATATCGCATGCCGAGTTATCAAGGGTTTACCTGCATAATTTTATTCAATTTTTGTTTACTCTGTTACATGCAGACTCAATCATTCACACAGAATGTGCTTAAAAGTAATCTCTCTCTCAAAGTTGGAAAAAATCCCCCATATCAGGAATTTTCCAGGTACCAGATTTTTTTTTAGAATTAACTGAAAATGTGCCCCTCGAAAAATTTTTGCCACCTCTGGAATTTTCCAAAAAATTCTGTGCCCCCCCCCCCCTTTTTTTTAACCACTTATCACCTTACTAGCCATTTGGGCTGTCTATCCAGTGTTAGTACAGGAGGAAACCAGAGACTGGGAAACCTGTGGTGTTTGGTAGTGAAGGTCACACTGTATAACACCCTTCTCACGTGTGTCCGGGCCGAGGCTTAATCTGCGGTATTTAGCTTGCAGATTGTGGGAGGGGAAGGGAGGGGGTGCGACATCGGAGATTTCAGCCTCTCCCTACCAGGCCAAGCTGTGAGCTGAGTTATTGTTATATTTTAACTCCTAATTTTGGGTAGATATATGTATTTTTATTAATTTTTTTTTTAAACTGTTTCATTTACACACAACTGTTCATACAGTGTGTGTAAAAAAAAAAGTAAAAAATGATTATCATAAGATAAAAAAAATGAATAAACATTTCTTACGTGCACGATAGTTAGTCCACAGAATGTGGGAGGAGGATGGAGCAGTGTTGAGGATCTCGGCCGCTCCAGCCTCTCATGTCCCGCGTGTAGTGAAATTATTGTCAACTGGCAATGAAGTATTTTTTCTTTGATTTTATTTATGAGTATAATTGATATTTACTCCTCACATTTACTGGTACTGATCCCTAATGGCTTCGGATAATGAGGAGTATACAGTACAGTACTGTATATAAAAACATATACAGTATGGTGAAAATTGTCAGCTTAATTACATTAATTTTTATGGGGGAAGTTGCCCAGATATTCACAAATTTGTTATTCACAATGACTTTTAGGAACGCATATAGTACTCTGCGATAACCGGAGTATTCCTATACTGTTCTCTGAATCTCCTTCAGTCATAAGCAATTCATTTCATCAAGGTTCTTTTGTACATAATTCTACAATAGTATCCTTCATTATAAAGCTAAACTAGGCTTATATTTTTATTGAAATACAAACAATATAAACAAAATCTCACCAAAGGGAAATTAGGTTAGTGAATAAAAACAGTGTTAAAGTGAGAAGTTAGACTCATTAATAAGACCTTTGGAATATTTTCAAGGGATACAGTACTGTTATCAAATAAGTTTCAGTGCATAAATATTTTCTAACCCCTGATGTGGAATCTACAGTAATGGCTGAATGATAATTTAAAGTAAAATGACCTACAGGTAAGACAAAGCAGTTGACCATGGGATGATCAATGACAGTAACTGTCCATTCTTTGGTGTACAGTTGTGGGATGGTGTTGTTGGCCTGCAGTATCCTGTTACCAACCCTTCTCACTCTGTCAACCATGGAGTGATTTTCTGGTAACAAGAGATGTCCATATTCTGCTAATTCCTGTCAAAAGTGTAAATAACATAATTTTGGGGTTTCTCTTACTCGAATATAGAAGAATAAATTACAGTATAGTGTAACATTTTGGGAGCCATAACTAATGCACACCAAAGTTTTAACATGGTAAACAACTAGTAAAGAAGACATCTTCTATCTTGTGTAAAGTTCAAGAAGAAGTACAGTACAGTACAGTACAGTATATATTTAAAAAATGAAACTTTAAAGCTAACTTATGTGAGGGAATTACGGGTCTCTGTATTCAACTGCACTACTGTACACTGTAATGTGGATATATATCATGACTTACAATATGGTTGTACAGACATTCTTGACAACCATTCTGTAAAACAAATACAGTAATTGTAAATTAAATCATAATTGTCCATTGATTACCATTATAAATCAGGATATATGCTAAAAGAAACAACAACTTTACAACACAACTTAAATATTTGCATGCATAAAAAGTGAAAATATAACAGACTTATATACAGACAACATTTGAAGAAAAATTGCACTGTACGGTAGTTGCCACAGTCAAATGAGAGATACGTAGTCCTATAACTTATTGATGGCTGCTGTGTTTACACCAGCCTCAACACCTCCAACTTAACATATAAAGTGATGGCTTTGTGAGGTCTCTTATCACTAGGGATATTACTGTTGCTTGTTTCACTTGCTGGTAATTTTCCTGGAGAGTTTTATCAAAGAATGGAGCTTGATTCAAAAGATTCCACTGGCCTATCATCAATTTTGTTAAGAGTTACAATAAATCACTTCAGCAGAAATCAGGCACCAAACTTTAACCCTTAAACCCCACGTTAGGGTGCCGCTGGCCGTATCCCCCACGCGGGGTAAATCGAGAAAAAGCAACTTTTCCAAAAATAATTGTTAACCTTTTTAACCCTTAAGCCCCGGGTTAGGGTGCTGCTGGCAGTACCCCCCCCGTGGGGTTAAATTGCGAAAAAAATTCAACTTTTCCAAAAAAAATAATAATAATAATAAAAAAAGTAAATAAATAAATAAATACTGTACCTTGTAATAAGAAAAATTGCCGGAAAAAAAAGGCGGACGTTCTGAAACGTCACCCGGGCCGCGCTAATCGGACGTTCTGGAATGTCATCTGGGGCCTAAGGGTTAAACAATAAAAAATAAGTAAGAAAAACTATATATTGACCCTTTAGAAACTTCCGTGGCAGCGCTGAGGGAGGAAGATAAAGGGGACAGCGTGTTGTGATGGTGAGCGTTCGTTGTCACCTACGCCCTTAGCAGCTAATTTTAGCTTCCCTTTGTGTCCAAGATGGCCAGTAATTTAATGCATATATTTACTGATCATAATAGTTATTTGCTATAAATAATTAATTTAGAATACTTTATTTGCATTATTTTTCATAAAAAAAGTGCTCGGCAACACACACGTAGTCTGTCGCCAGGCTGTCTGGCTGTCTTTGTGTTTGGTAGAGCAAGTAATGCATAAAATAATAATAATTCCACAAATAAATTACATTTACTGTATAACATAATCATAGCATTATTTTACAGTAATACTACACTACTTTTAGCAATAGTATTACTTTGATACAACATGATAAAATGGACAAACAATGAAAATTAAACAAACAAAAGTAGGTAATTATGCTCAGGAAGCTTCCCTGTGGCCGAGGTGTGGCGTGACAGGCAAATAGTCACACTGGACCTGATAACCCACGCTGGGCATTTAAACAGTGGCGGGAAAAGGGGCGCGTTCTGGAATGTCACCCGGGGCGCGCTAGTCAGGCGTTCTGGAATGTCACCCGGGGCGTAAGGGTTAAGATTGTGGTGTGGAAAAAAACTTGATTATATACTGTACAGTCTACAGTACTGGTAGATGATCACCATCTTAATGGGACAAATGGCACATATTATCTATTTACAACTGTTGCCGTTTAAAGGTTAATGACCCAGGACAACAGCTGGTGAGTTGTGTGATAGAGGAGCTGAGACAAACACCCACTACCTTAAACCTGTTTCCCCCTTCTGGAAAAAAAAGAAGTGATCTGAACCCCATCAAAGGAAACTCAAAGTACTGGAATATATATAAGAAAAGCCTCCTAACAGCATCAGAAGATCTCTTATATAACTCAAAGATGACAAACTGGGAAACAAATTTACAAAATTAACTGCTCACTAAAATAAAAGTTCTAAGAAAAGCAATCCGGTGAAGGAGTTTATAGCGGAAAACTTCTGAATGAGGCTTAAGCCATGCACTACGCTTGTTCATTACACTAATTGAAAAATACCCTTAAAAAAAATATATCATTACCACTTGATAACAGCTTTGTGCAATCTTGAAAAGTTGATCTGGTGTGAAAACCATAAACCTCCGACGTCTCGTAAAAGGAGTGGTGGTTACATGGCTCTCATAGTATGTATACCCTGCAAGGCCCAACATAGTTGAACCACCTTTATGGAATAAGGATAAAATTTAGTGCAAAATTTTATTAGTCATAATAATAATACAATTTACAGTACTGTACGTACAGTTGACAAAATTAAAATAAGGGGGCCCAAGAATTGGAGTGAGGAGCCCTTGTCATAAATAACCCTGGAGTAGTTCTGTCATTCAAGTACTAGAGTAATGCATTCATAGAACTGGGTGTGCACCTGTAAATAAACTTAGCTTATATATCAAAAAGTATCTCCAGTTGTTCTTACATTACAGGAAGCCTGCTCAAAACTTCTACTCTTAGGCATTATGTGATTTTATAAAACGATATTAGATTTTATTACTCAACATTAATATTCATTCACAAATTAGTTTTAGTCATTAGTTAATACTGTATAACATGGTTATCAGTCTTCTTAGCACACTGCTCTGACTAGTTCACACTCCATGTCCTCTTCCTGAACTTTTTCATAAAAAATCACTCAAACTTTTATTGTGAATTTAGAAGACCTACATATACTGCCCAGTTTCCAGTCTTAAAGTCCACATTACCAAGGTTTGTCTGTATTAACATTTTACTCAACCCTTTGTAATTAAAATAAATAATTTTTAAGATATTTAAAAAAGTAAAGGTTCAAATCTGTAAATTTAATACTAAATTTTGATTGAAATCATTTACCTAAGTAGCGAAATTTGTTGCGAATAAAATGTTGTATAAAGATATCTTTCTTCTTCTTTGGTAACGACTGCCACCATTTTCTAAAGCCACGGCCAACCAACACTGCAACCATTTTGCTCAAAGGTCGAAGAACTGCTACTATTATGGGGTTCAAATAGCGAGGTCTGAAAAGGAATTGTACAGTATGTTAGTTACAGCAGAGTTGATAATAAAAAATTCATTTATCTTAACACTCTTGTGCACGAAATAAGTTTCTAAGTTTCCGTGACCACAGCAAAAGTCATATGGGACCACTCCTGTGCTGTCTCGGGGACCAGATGGGGTGACAGTACTCCAGGCGGGGAAGCACCTCACTCTTAAAGATTGTTACGAGGGCCGGACCGTCTAGATATCTGAACGACCTTCTTTTAAGACCTACTAGTTTAGATGCTTGGTTCACCTTCTCACAATGGCCTGAGAACTTCAGTTCATTGTCAACATACACACCCAGGTCCTTTTGCATTCAGTCTCTATTAAAGCAGTTTGTTTATCCTGTTGGGACATGTGATACATCTCCTTACTGTTGGTATGTCCCAGGTGCAGCCTCTTACACTTATGACATTGAATCTTAGCAGCCATTTCTTCGACTACTCTTAAAGTTCACAGAGATCCTTCTGCAGCTCTTCAGTCTGTTTGGTTCTTAATTTCCCTGAATGACTTGGCATCATCTGCAAACATTTGCATGCAGGAGTGTATAGCTTCCAGCATGTCATTTATTAAACACAAACAACAATGGACCTAATACACTGCCCTGTGGTACCCATCTTGTCTTGGGTACACAGGACGATTTTGTACCATTAATCGCCACACACTGCTTGCAATAATGCAGAAAGTTTTCGATCCACGCTAGGACACTATCCCCGAATCCCGTACCCTTCCAGTTTAATTCTCAGCCTTTCACGGGGTACGCTGTCGAAAGCCTTGGCAAAATCTAGGTATTGTATGTCGATATTGCCACCCTGTTTCAGAATTTGGGTCCAAACAGCCAGTACTTTGAGTAATTGTGTTAAGCAGGAGTGTCCCGGCATAAAACCATGTTGGCAGTCCTTTACAAGGTTGTTTTTTTTAGAGATGTTCCATCATGGCATCTCTTATAATGCTCTCAAGTAACTTTACATATACTATGCTGGTCAGACTCACTGGTCTATAATTATTCATGGAATGACGATTGCCCTTCTTGAATATAGGACTCGCATAGCCATTATCCAATCCTTGGGGACCTTTTGCTCTTCCAGGCATTTACAGAACTGGATCTTCAGGGGCTCAGCAAGCTTGTTGCACAACTCTCTTAGCATTAGTGTACATGACTTTCAAGCCGGAATTTGTCCTCGGTAATGTCTCAGATCTTGGTAGTGACTCCGGCCTCCCTCTATTCTCAGCAGCTGCCTCATTTACTAAATACATTGTATTTTGTGGGGTGTGGCCAGAGATGTCATTGTTTACATGGTGCTGACCTTCCTCCTGGGTGGGAGGTATAGCAGGTGGAGGGTGTCCCACTGTCCCCTGGTTCTGTACTGGTGCTCTTGCCTCCACTATCTTCCCCTTGTATATAACCCATGCACGTCTGTCCCTGTTCCTCATCAAATCCCCCTCTTCTGCTTCAAGCATCACAGGAGTTTTTTGTGCTGTTCCCTCTGCATTACCATGTGATCTAGGTTTGTGAATATATACCCCAAAATGCATCGCTCCTTGCCATGTTTTTGCTTGCTGAATACAATACCTACCTACAATGTCATTGGAGGGAGAGGGACTGAGAGAGGAAGTAAAGTTAGGCACCACATTTTATTCTAAGGTGAAAATACAAATTAAGTATTTTTTTATTTTTATTAAAGTTGTTGGACAAGCATTGGATACTCAAAGGTACTGTAATCCCATTGAAAAATATAAAGTATGCAAAGCAGTTTGGGATATTTTTTATTTTATTTATTTATTTTTTGGGGTGGTAAAAATCATGTTTAATATGATATACAATACAAAAGTTAAAATTGAATTTTTTTTTTTACCTTGATGTGTGTATTCTTCTGACAGGTTGTAGTGTTCCCATCAATCCTTGCACAGGAGAAGGCCATTTTCTCCTGCCAGCACCAACTACAGATTCACTACAAGGAATGATCTGACTTTTAAAACTTAAGCTGTTTCTCCAGAGTGTTGTTATTCTAAATGACAGCATTTTCCCCTGTTAATGACCTGAAATGGAAATTACAAAAGAATATAATACCACCAGACTATGCTTAAAACTACACTTTAAAATAAGTACTGTAGTATTAAAGGCTGGTAATGTGCTCTGGGGTAATAGCCGGACTGAACATCCTTTATTTTTTATTTTTTTATTTTTTTATTATTTGGTACCTAAATGGACAGATTTGTTTGTACCGTCTCTTTGAAAGTTTATAAATAGAGGAACACCTGTACAGTATTTTGCTTTCAGGTGTTATGTTCATTAATAGTTTACAATTATTGTGTACACCCAAAATTTATTTGAAAACTTTGTGATATTTTAAGATTTTTTGTCAAATACATTTTTCATTGGAATTTATTTCAGCTTTTACAATGTGAGTTTATGGGAAAATGTGAGTCATTATATAAAAAATTAAATTACTAAAAGTTTTTCAGGAACAGGACCCCTTCATTAATCTGGGAATGCTTGTACTGTACTGTACTGTACAAATAAATTACTTTTTAAAGTTATTAATAAATTAATCTGAATTATTAATAACAATGGATAACAATAATATAATAACTGAGCAATAAAATTAAAATAATACATACCAAAATACGAATGCAGAACATAAATAATAGTAAGCATAGTGGCAGGATTGTCCAGGTACTGTCCAGTACTGTACTGGTTATGGCTGGAGACGATCTTCACTTCCTCACTATATTTTAATTCACTGGTTTTATGTATTGTAATACAGTACAGTACAGAATAATTATCTTACATATTATGTATAAAGGCTAACAGTTTTTGTTCTATAAACCAACAAATATTGTATGGTATTTATTTGGACAACAATTTTGTTTTGCTGAGAGTAACAAGGACCAAGAGCTTAATACTTACTCATCAGCAACTATGGGTGGATTAAACAAGCTGTTGGCTTCCTTTCCCAGTCAAAGTGGTAAATTAAATAATAAAAAAAAAAGTTGAAGCATTTTGTATTACAAGCACATGAAAACAATCCTATTAAGTGGTTAATTTATTACTGACAGAGCAAGCAGCAACTTGCTCAAGGATATTTCTCTATAGAAGATCAAAGGTTTCTTATCTTGTGAGAGAGCCAAAAAGTGTGTGAGGAAAATGTTTCTCATAATATAATTTTTAAGAATTTTTACATCCTGAACACTAATCTACAGCTGAAGACTCGTAGCTGCGATAACACTTCTCCTATGTTTACATCTGGGGTGTTTCATTGGTTACGTTTATAGGCAATTTTTTTTTTTTTTTTATTTTTTTTTTAGTAAATGCTAACCATTATTTTAAGTTATGTTAGGTAAGTTCATTTTATGAACAAATATTCCCAGAAATTGGTGAATAATTCCACCAGGCAACTGCTAGTGTATACCCACCACCCTAATTAGGTGAGAAAAGAAAGATTATTGACACCCTAACCTAAAATAAAAGTTATCTATAAATTGAAATCATGTCTTTGCAATAACCCAACAAAACATCCTGAAGTACTGGATGTAGACTGAGGAGTCTGAGATCGTGGGCATAAATTAGTTTCAGGATAGAACAAAATCATAAATTATGAATATAATTTTACTCCTTGTAAATTTTTTGGCCTTTTCATCAGGTATGAAAATTTTTATCTCCAAAAGTTGATGGTTCAGGTGGCAAATTATCATCCAGTGTTGACCAGGGATATGAGGGAGAGAGATGCCGGAAAGGAGAATAAAAGTTGTCTGTGAGAACTAACCAAAGAAGTGTAGCAGTAATGGGTGTGTAGCTTATCTCATGCTATGTCCTGGGTTCAAGCCTCAGCCTGAAACATGTGAGAAGGATGTTATTCACTTAGAAAACATCAGGGTTTTCCAGTTACTAAAGTTTCCTCATGTTCTAACACTGGACAAGAAAAGTCATAAAGGTTAAGATTCGTTTTTTGTAGACTATAGAAACTGCAAACTAAAACAGGTTTGGGAAATATTTAGAAGTTGTCAACACCTAACTACATATTGAGTCTTAGATACGGAGAAAGAAAAAACTAAATTTATTTTGTAGCGTTTCTGCAGGAATTTTATAAATTTATATTTGTTGAGTATTTTAACGAATATAATTACCATCAATATTACTTGTTCAAAGTGGGCAAAGCTTTAAAGTAGATGTAAAATCTTGTTGGAGGTAGACGGGGGCGATAAATAAAAAAAAAACCAGGCAATTTCCGACGGAAATTAAGGCCAGAACCAATCAAAACACTAGAACAACATAGTTTTGACATCCTACCAGTTGTATGAACTCTAATTTTACCCAAATGATTGTATCTGTGACGTATTTTGTTAATTGGTTCTCAAATAACATATAAAATACTGTGTATATGCTATAACCACAAGGAAAGAAGAAAATACAAAGTTCCCAAGCGCTTTCGTGTAATTCACATCTTCAGGGGTGAGTACAGACTAGAGAGAGAAATACAAATCAAGGTGTATATATACAGAGGAGGGTGAGACCAGGTCCACATTGTGGACCTGGTCTCACCCTCCTCTGTATATATACACCTTGATTTGTATTTCTCTCTCTAGTCTGTACTCACCCCTGAAGATGTGAATTACACGAAAGCGCTTGGGAACTTTGTATTTTCTTCTTTCCTTGTGGTTATAGCATATACCTAGATCACGCGCACCTACAGTGATTTACTTGCACAAAATACTGTAAACCCCGGTAAGAGCCCTACCAGACCTCGGTCACTAGAAAAACGTAAACATTTTGTGTAGTGCCAGTCGACCTGAATGTGGATTATACATTCTTTTACGAAATTTGGATTCACTTTTTTCTTTTTTTCTTTTAAGGATTTGTAGAAAGATTACATACGCGGACCTTAAGCTATGTATTCACCTTAGGTTAGTAGTACTAACCTATGAACCAAATCCAACTAAAATGCCAATAATAGTAATCACATAGTCTATGAATGATTATTCTTAAAATTTGTCCTCATTAAATTGCATGCTACTTATAAGATATAAAAGAACTATATGAGCTCGTCAAATGTTGGAGACATACTCGATGTGTTTAGTTACAAGATGTGTACCGCCAGATTTAAGTTCTAAAGTGACTCGGTTTTCGAGAAAAGATAATGAAAATAAACAAAATTATAAATATAAGGGTTAAATTGCAGTTTCACTACTAATTGGATTTTCACCAGGTATCTATGCTTTCCACGAGGTATTTGGTGCGATTCTTTCTAATTTGACCTTCATTTTCGTCGGAAATTAGTCGTTTTTTTTTCTTCCCCTCCAACAATCTTGGGGTAATTCTGATTTTTGGGGTTGGGGAGAGCAAAAGCGGAAGCTAATAGGAACCTAACCTAACTAACGAGTACGGAGCGGTTCGGAGCCTTGATCGTCCATTGAGGGGGTGAATATGGAAAATATTTGTTTGCATATTGAGTAAAGAGATGATACAAATTTCAGTTTAATACAAATAATATACAGCTTTTCACTTCTTGATATTTTAAATCCGTAAATATACTTTAAGGTTGCGATAATCTGTCGTCCAAAGTTTAGTTTAACAAATTTATTGGCAGAGCTTGTAGTACAGTTTGCCTATTCTGAGTAATTCAGTCAGGTCTTGACACTGAGGGTGGTATCACTGTTCACTGCCATGCAGGACAGAGGTTCGTACACAAAGAGTTGCATCATATTCATTGACAGTACATATACATATATGTAAACACACACACACACACACACACATATACATACATATCCGTATATACATACACATATACATGTACACGTACATATACATGCACACACGCACACATACATACATATACGTCGGTCAGATTCATGTGGGTAATGTCACTTTTCACTGCCATACAGGACAGAGGTTCGTACACAAAGAATGCATCATATTCATTGACACTATATATGGGTCAGATTCATGTGGGTAATGCCACTGTTCACTGCCACGCAGGACAGAGGTTCGTACACAAAGAAGGAAATACATCACATTCACCAGCAGTATATATAGGTCAGTGGATCACATACATTGGAGTCATATTCTAATTGAAGACTAATCAGCGTCCAAAGAGTAAACTACAAACGGTTTTTAGTCTTTGCTGTCGTCATTATTTCGTTTGAAATTTTACTAAAATTTCACCTACATGATTAATTTTGTTCTTACAATATTTTCATGAAAATTGTTAGTCATATGATATGACTCATATCTCCATAGCGGCTTATTTCCGACAGTATTGAAGGTCAGATTCGAATGAAACGCCAAGGAAAATACTAGAAAACCAATTTTTTTAAATAATTTCCGTGGCTGACCTCTACTGAATCTTTTATTCTTGTGCTCTACGGACTGGCTGGCCACGTAGTTCATACGAGGACTCAGCAAAACTACAGGAAAATGTAAAAAAAAAAATTTGGAATGGTCTGAAAATTGGCTGATGAAATTCAATGTGGACAAATGTAAAGTACTCAGCATATGAGATGTAAACAGGGAAACCAGATACCAAATAAACAACGATGTTATTGAGAATTCCTACTGCGAGAAAGATTTAGGAGTAATGATAAGTAGGAATCTTAAGCCAAGTAAATAATGTGTATTTGCTCGAAACAAGGCTAATAAAGTACTTTGGTTCATACAAAGGAGTGTTAGTTACAAGACTAGCGAGGTCATCCTAAAACTATATCTTGCACTTGTGAGACCTCACTTTGATTAAGCAGTTCACTTCGGGTCACCGTATTACAGAATGGATATAGAATCCTTGGAAAGAATTCAGAGGAGAATGACAAGGCTAATCCCGGGCATTAGGAACATTGAGTACAGAGGCAGGTTAAAGCATCTTAATTTGCACTCCCCTCGAGAGACGTAGAGTGAGGGGCGATATGGTAGAGGTGTATAAATGGAAGTCGGGGCTGAACAAAGGTGACATTACAAAGGTACTCAAAATATCTAACCAGAAGCGAACTCGTAACAATGGTTTTAAATTAGACAAATTCAGATTAAGGCGCGAAATAGGTAAACATTGGTATGGAAATAGAGTAGTGGACGAGTGGAACAAGTTACCAAATATCATTACGTATTAACTCGAATACGCTGGATAGCTTCAAACATAGGTTGGATGGATATATGAGCGATAGGGGTTGGGTGTAAATGGGACTGCCCAGTATAGGCCAATAGGCCCGCTGCAGTTTCCTCCATTCTTATGTTCTTATACTGCGAATTTCTCTTTAACTCTCTTGGCTTAAAATTTAAGCTGCATATCCGTGCATTAACAGCATTTGAACGAGTCATGCCTCATGCAGTGAATCCATTTCCTTCTCAGTTTCTCAATATTTTTGGTAACTGAAAAGTGACATTCCCCCGTAACTGACATTAGTGATGCAACCAAACATTTCACAGTTGATAGTCATACTATCACATCCTGTTGACTTGAAATGGTAAACAGCAAGTCTACAACGTGAGTCAGAAAGTTGGCCGATCCCACCTGTGCACTATAGTGGCCTTGTGCTGGCAGTGTGTGGACAAGTAACGTCATGTGCGGGAAGTGGCGCGTTTTTGTTCACTGGTGAACACAACATACCTTATATAGGGGTGGATCCAGGAATATCAAAAGGAGGGGTCCAGGAAGTTGTGGGTGGGGGAACACAGCGAGCCCACCCAGCTGGGGCTGTAAGCTCCCCAAATTTGTATTTATTTTTTAATCTGACCAATATTATGGGCATTTGAGGCCATGTGCACTTGATATTAGAATATACTCTGAGGTCAATAGTAATTATTTTTTACAATACAAAAATGCCTGAGTACAATACTACATTAAAGAAAAGGTATTGGAATTTTCTGATGAAAAGGGGGTCCCACTCCCAAAGGACACCCCTGGTCTATTGACCTGGGTTTCGCGAACGCTGAGAAATCGCGCTTGCCACGTTGACCTCACTTAATTTTCTTTGGCCACTTATTAGCTTACTAGCCGTTCGGACGGATGGTCTATCCAGTGTTAGTACAGGGGGAAACCGGGGACCGGGAAACCTGTGATGTTTGTTATCACTATATAACACACCCTTCTCACGTGTGTCCGGGCCAAGCAGGACTCGAACCCTTGACATAATAGTTAAAGATACGCACGTTAACGCATTAGATTATGTTAGGTTTCTCGAGTACCATCGTGACTTTTTTTATTTGTGCTTTATTGTTGATCATAATAACATTATGAATCGCGTAAGGATAGCACACTGTGTAATTGGTAAAAATACAGTGTCATATTAATTTAAAGTGCCAAGAAATAATAGTGACGAAATTAACACTGAAATGCTAAATTTTTATTATTTGCGTACTTTTTTCTCTTCATTCGTAGCATTTGGCTCTTTGTAGTCAATAAAGGGCACGCAATAATTTCAGCCTGAGGCCCATAAACGCCATAATGTGCCACAGTTTCTCACAATTGCCAGTTAGAGTAATGGTCAGTAGGGAGGCAGTCACCCATTAATATTTACTACATACCAGATGACATAAACAAGAACGTATGCCTTTCCTAAGCTGTACGCCATTTGTTTTGGTCGTGCTTCTTGTCCACAGTTTCCGAATCGATATTGTGTACGAAAGTGAGAAGCTCCCATGCAGGCACGCAATTTTCGTGAGGTTTATTAAAACAACAAACGTCACGGCTACAGTCCAATTCTGTTTTTGACAGCCAGTTCACTGCAAAATATTGAATACCGAACACTAATAAATGAAAAACGCGCCTCACACTTCTATATTGTGTATTTTTATACGTAGTTCAAACCATCCACCGAATTGTATCAAAATTAAAGCAAACCTGTACCTGCATTCTTCTATATCTTTTGTTGTATCTCAACCAAATACACAACAAACGCTGTAACACCCACTTCAGGCTACAGGGTGTTAACAGCGGCTACTAAAGTGAACCTCTGTATCGGCTACTCCCTGCCTCAGTCCCTGTCTTGTGTGTCCCTCTTATTCTCACCACCCTCACCTCTCACTCCTCCCACCCTCACCTTTCACTCCTACCTCCCTCACCTCTCACTCCTACCTCCCTCACCTCTCACTCCTACCTCCCTCACCTCTCACTCCTACCTCCCTCACCTCTCCTCCTACCTCCCTCACCTCTCACCCCACTCCCCTCCACCCCCCCCCACCTCTCACCCCTACATCCCCTCCCACCTCTTACCTCTACATCCCCTCACTTCTCACCCCTACATACCCTCACCTCTCACCCCTACATACCCTCACCCCTACATCCCCTCACCTCTCACCTTTACATCCCCTCACCTCTCACTCCTACATCCCCTCACCTCTCACTCCTACATCCCCTCACCTCTCACCCCTACATCCCCTCACCTCTCACCCCTACAACCCCTCACCTCTCACCCCAGCAGCGTGAGGTAGGGAGGGATGGTGGGGGCCAGCGAAGACATGTGTGTTGGGTGGGCAATTATCGGGTTATTATAAGTATATTTTCATCATTTTGGGGTGAGAGGTGACCTAGATTACCTTCAATGGGAGTTTAACGGTGTACGGTGTCGCCTCTGAGTGTAGTGTAGGGAGTTGAGTGACAAGATTATTGAATGCTCTTGTTACGGGGATGTGTGTTATTATATATTAGGGCGTACAGTTGAAGGGAAACAAGGGTGGGAGGGGGTGTGTGAGTTCCTGACCAGTTGTCTGCTGCGTTATGTTCAATTTGTTAGGTAGGTATAGTCCCCTTCACTAGTGCGTTTACAGGGGCTCGTCAGGTTTTGTGCAGTGTGGCAGTCCTGTGTTTGTTTACATTTCGACAGAAGGAAACTCACAATAGTAAACATACTATGGAATCAAAGTAAAACAATATTAAAACAAATATCTCAATGTAATGATTTGTGAAATGTTTATATGTTGAACCCCTGTAAACGCACTAGTGAAGGGGACTGTACCTTGTTATCCAAGTGAAACACGACACGAATAGTTGCCTCGCTAGAACGTGGGTTAGAGGATCAGTATTGGATGACGAGAGTAATAAAACAATGTTGAGACATATATTATCTTTTATCTCGGAATTCTTAACACGAAAATTGGATACAGAAACCTTCACTGCGCCTACGTTGGTCACCACCCCAGATTCATCTTACGGCTACTGAACAGATACAGGAGTTTTAGTATATAATTTGACTTCAGAAACAACAGTAGAGGTCGAGTGCTTCCAAACTGTGACTCTGTTCTGTGATTTGTATTTTTTTAGGGACGCCACGAGTTGTTTTGACCACTCTGTATAAACTTGCCGGTAACTAAACATGATGGTGGAAGTCAGTATGTTCGTAACCGATGCAACGTTAGTTCCTTGGCACTTGAAATGTACTCAGCCTCCCACAAAGAGCATATATTCAATAGGATATATATGTTTAATAGCCAGATATGTCCGTGCAGGTGTCCTTACCGTCTCCTGATAAGCCCGTGCAGGTGTCCTTAACGTCTCCTGATAAGTCCGTGCAGGTGTCCTTAACGTCTCCTGATAAGCCCGTGCAGGTGTCCTTAACGTCTCCTGATAAGTCCGTGCAGGTGTCCTTAACGTCTCCTGATAAGCCCGTGCAGGTGTCCTTAACGTCTCCTGATAAGTCCGTGCAGGTGTCCTTAACGTCTCCTGATAAGTCCGTGCAGGTGTTCTTACCGTCTCCTGATAAGTCCGTGCAGGTGTCCTTAACGTCTCCTGATAAGTCCGTGCAGGTGTCCTTACCGTCTCCTGATAAGTCCGTACAGGTGCGCAGGTGTCCTTAACGTCTCCTGATAAGTCCGTGCAGGTGTCCTTAACGTCTCCTGATAAGTCCGTGCAGGTGTCCTTAACGTCTCCTGATAAGTCCGTGCAGGTGTCCTTATAATCATCCATATCTTTAACAAACTGACATCGTTAAGAGTATCAGACCATAAAGAGATCAACATTTATATCTGAGGAGCAGATTACGACAACGACCACAGTAAAAAATCAAGTTAAATTGTTAAATATAAGATAAATAGATCCCAATAAACAATAGTTATGGTAAATGAGGATAAATAACTCAAAAGAATGATCTAGAATTAACTTGTGTAGTGTAAGGATATTTGAAGAGAAGACGCGGAGAAAGAGTGCACGAAATTACTACTGGTTTTCACAGACACTAAAGAGGAATTAGTACCTGAATAAATAAATAAATAAATAGACAAGATATATAGGAAAATTAAGATGATAACTGGTGGAAGGGAATGTTATAAAGAAGAGAGATGGGGCGGTAGGTATGGAAATGAACTGGAGACCTGAGGGGAGAGAGAGAGGCGACAGGAAACGTAACAATAACACAAAGTTCAATATTTATTACTTCACTTAAGACACCAGGAACGATGAAGTGTTGTAGACGTACAGTAGATCAATAAGTTTAATGAATCATATAACACAACCTTTTTTAATTAATGGAAATCTGTATAATTAGAAGTGGACAAGAAATGCTATATATATATTTGTTTAAAGAATGACAGCAGGAAGAGCGATTTAGATACAAAAGACTTGGCATAGTGGCTTTGTTTTATAAATTGAAAAGATGTTCGATGAAGTGAAACATGACGAAGGATTTAATATGTTAGAGCAAGAAAATGTGGATGGAAAAGACGTGAGAGTGATAAATTTATATTGGGATCAAGAAGCAGCAGCAGTGAAGATGGAAAACGACATATGGGATAAAAATAAGAAGAGGAGTGAACGAAGGACTTTTTTCACGGATTTGTTTTCACTCTGGAGAGCAGAGAAGCTACAATGGTAAATACTTTTATATACTAGAGAAATACAGACCACGAAAAGAATAAGTTGAGTAAAGAAAAGCGTTGAGAAGATGAAAACCTGTTAAGAAATAGACTCATTGGAAGTACAACAAGAAAGTGGGGAAAACATTATGTGTGGTCAGTAATATTATACGGATTAGAAGCTTGAAGCACCAGCGAAGAAATGGGGATGACTAATAGAAGCGATAGAGAAGGGAATAGAAATCATGGCTGCAATTAGAAAACGATATATTTTGAGGAGAGACGAATTGAAAAATCTGAGCATAACGAGGAAACCGAGGGGCGAGAGGAAGAGAGAGGCAACGTCGATAGTCTCTCGGAAGTGGACGGACGGCTGGAAAGCTGATCCAGACAGTAAGGGTGGTCGCCTACGTCAAAGACACACACACAGATGATAAAGATTGAAGTGTGACATTATGGGGATCCAGTAAGCTGCTAGAATGTTTATATTCGTTATTTGTGTGTTTCGTTAGGGTTTTTATACTTGTTCCATTCCACGGAGCTGAGAATGAAATTTATTAACGTGATACTGGGCACAGACAGTAGAGGAGCAGGGGCAGTGGGCCGCGATGAGCCAGAGCGAATGACACCCTCAGAGCTCAGGCCCTCAGCACTAGTCAGCAGACAGACAGTGTGCGCCAAGCCCCGAGGAGAGGAGGTGGCGGTCGTTGGCGCGTCCTGCCCCCAGCTACACACACACACACACAACGCGTGCTCTTGCTCATATACCACACTCCCTTCATACCGCTCTTCCTCACCCCCTTGCAGTTTGGTCGTTGTTCCCCTCAGTGGCTTATATAATTACCTCAAAATAAACATAGAGGATTAAAGGAAAAATCCTACTGGTAATGGTTAATGGAGCCAAGATACAGGAAGCCCGCCAAGTGAACGTTTGGGTGGTCAGCGCTACAGGTCTCCCGGGAATGTTCTGAAATGAGGAGAGGTTAACGCACCGTGCCGCTGTATCAAGGACTTGTGGGACGATTTAGAGCGAGGCGTCGTAAACTCGGGGTATCATTGAAGTAATTCGAGTGGACTCTGTCAAGGTAAGCTTCCTCTTGAACGGCCTTCGATTAGATCATTAGAACGTTGTTTGCTTTTGTTAATCATCGACATGTATTTCGTAAATAAAGGATTATTACCTTATTATTCATATTTCTGTGTAGGATACATTGTCCTGGAGGTATCTGGCATAACAAGTACTGGCATGGAAAAATTAGTATTTGTATGCTGTTGTATATGTTTCTGTATCCGTCTTTATTTATATGTTATATATACGGGTACGTGTGAATGTATGCTGTTTTCAGCAATAGCTTTAAGACACAGTAATTAATATGTGTAGCAGTTATCGATTTGGGGTTACAGTTGTCGAGGAGTTAAGCGCTTGCCCCCTCCCCCGTCATGAGGGTCCCTGGTTCGATCCCGGGGCATTCTCAGTCCACTCAGTTGTAAAATGGTCCGTAACTACACATGAAGAAGTGAGAAAAGACGAGTATAGTGCCTGCCTTGTTGCCTCCTTGGTCCTGGCGTAGTACTGTTCCCAATGAACAGTCATGCCTATGAAACTCAGTTTCATTAACTTCGCTAAATTATAGAATGACTGCTTGGACTACGTAATGATTTGTGTTCTTCGAGAATATCACTTAAACGTTTATTAAAATTTTAGAACGTATATCAGGTGGGGAAGCAAGGATACACTATTGTGAATTTACTGAGGCAATAAACAAACCTTGTCCTCGCTCTCGGACCTTCCGAAATGAAAACAAACCATGATATAATTGTGATATATTCTGTACTGTACTGTACTGTACCCCTATGGAGCAAAAACCATTGGGTCATTCCTGCTAGAATCAGATGTACTCTAGGGATGGGTTCTGTTATGAAGTCCAAGGATTCATTCTATGTAAAGACTCCCTGTGATCCACCAGTTATGTAAAGACTCCTAGTGATCCACCAGTTATGTAAAGACTCCTAGTGATCCACCAGTTATGTAAAGACTCCCTGTGATCCACCAGTTATGTAAAGACTCCCTGTGATCCACTAGTTATGTAAAGACTTTCAGTGATCCACCAGTTATGTAAAGACTCCTAGTGATCCACCAGTTATGTAAAGACTCCCAGTGGTCCACCAGTTATGTAAAGACTTTCAGTGATCCACCAGTTATGTAAAGACTCCTAGTGATCCACCAGTTATGTAAAGACTCCCAGTGATCCACCAGTTATGTAAAGACTCCCAGTGGTCCACCAGTTATGTAAAGACTCCCTGTGTTCCACCAGTTGTGTAAAGACTTTCTGTGATCCACCAGTTATGTAAAGACTCCCTGTGATCCACCAGTTATGTAAAGACTCCCAGTGATCCACCAGTTATGTAAAGTCTCCCCGTGATCCACCAGTTATGTAAAGACTCCTAGTGATCCACCAGTTATGTAAAGACTCCCAGTGATCCACCAGTTATGTAAAGACCAGTGATCCAATTGTGTTATGTAAAAGACTTTCAGTGATCCAATGGTTATGTAAAGACTCCTAGTGATCCACCAGTTATGTAAAGACTCCCCTGTGGATCCACCAGTTATGTAAAGACTCCTGTGATCCACTAGTTATGTAAAGACTTCAGTGATCCGCACCAGTTATAGGGGAAGACTCCTTAGTGATCCACCAGTTATAAAGACTCCCAGTGATCCACCACAGTTAAGGGGAAGACTCCCCAGGTCCACTATTATGTGTAAAGACCTAGTGATCCATGACCAGTTATGTGTAAAGACTCCTAGTGATCCACCAGTTAGAAAGACTCCTTAGTGATCCACCAGTTATATAAAAGACTCCCTAGTGATCCACTAGTTATGTAAAGACCTCAGTGATCCACCAGTTATGTAAAGACCCTAGTGATCCACCAGTTATGTAAAGACTTCCAAAGATCCAATTGTTATAGCATCTCCAGTGATCCACCAGTTATGTAAAGACTCCTAGTGATCCACCAGTTATGTAAAGACTCCCAGTGATCCACCAGTTATGTAAAGACTCCTAGTGATCCACCAGTTATGTAAAGACTCCCTGTGATCCACCAGTTATGTAAAGACTCCCAGTGATCCACCAGTTATGTAAAGACTCCTAGTGATCCACCAGTTATGTAAAGACTCCCAGTGATCCACCAGTTATGTAAAGACTCCTAGTGATCCACCAGTTATGTAAAGACTCCTAGTGATCCACCAGTTATGTAAAGACTCCCAGTGATCCACCAGTTATGTAAAGACTCCTAATGATCCACCAGTTATGTAAAGACTCCCAGTGATCCACCAGTTATGTAAAGACTCCCCGTGATCCACCAGTTATGTCAGTTGCCCACAGTGATCCACAATAACCTAACCTAACCACACCCACCCATCCACCCATCCAATACCCTATCCTACACTGTCCTCACCCATCCACATAACCACCCAAAAAATAACCTAACCTATCCCAATCCTATCCTCGTCCTCTATCCTAAAACCTAACCTAACCCTATCCACCACTACCAACTTGGCTCATCCTATCAGTACACGTCCACCGCCAGAGATTTATATTAGTCTGGGATGGTGAATGATACACGTTCACTCTCAGTCATTTGCATATAAAACGGTATGCTGTTTTTAGTTAGGAGAGAGCGAGGCACACACACACACACACACACACACACACACACACACACACACACACTTCCCTCATCCTCCTCTTGTTTGCCTCCGGTACTTAATTCTCTCAAGAGGAAACTGCAGGGTGGCGGTGGGTATCAGAAATGTGTGTGTTGCGTTGTGTTTTTTTGTGATCACGAGAAGTTTCCAAATGTTCGTATATTTGTTTAAATAATGAAGGCAAATTTGATGTGAGAATCGTGTGGTAGTTGTAGTGGTTGTAGTTCAGTTGCCAATTCATTAGTATAATTATCTTAGTTATTTTGAGTACGAGAGCCAGGGTGAGGCTGATGTTTCTTTGGTTTCGTGTTTTGTGAAGTATTGTTTTATTTTTATGATCATGTACAATTGTGTCGGTTTTTTTTTTGTAAATTGTGTGTTGTTAATGGATAATTGTGTGTGTGTGTGTGTGTGTGTGTGTGCAGGAGAGGTGGAGGCGCGTGACCTAGCCCCACCTCTGAACCTTGTTATTTCAGGTACCTCCCACCCCTTTACCATCACCACCACCTCCCTCACTTGTAAAATATAAAGAATATATTTGAGTTTACCAAAATGGCGGTGATGAGAATAAAATATGAAATGTACTTGTAACACTAGACATCGTGTTTCAATATACCTTATATGCTTCGTTACTTATACCAGTCTCGTTATATACAACCAGCTATAGTGAGTCTTGTATGATTGATTATTTAACTCGAGTGAAAATTGGATATAGTGGGTGTTCCGTCATCGTCTATACTAATTGGCGAATTATCCTAAAACAACGCCTGGTTTATGAAGGTATTATGAAGGCTTAACTAGATTATTTAAACCAGTAATCGACTTTACCAAATGATTACAGGGACTGGAGGTTATTGATGTGGTGAGTGACGTCATGTGAGTTGTAGGGGATAGTTCGTATATCCGACCTTTGTGGGTAATCAGTGTTCAGTTCGTATAATATTTATGGCGTTTCCAGCACAACACGCTAACAAACTGGCCACACAACCCGTACAGTATTAATATTGTGTGAGGTATAAAGTTAGCGCCGCTCAACATATCAGAGATCGTACTATTTTTCTCCTCTAGTTACTTTAGGCTTGTTTTCATTGCATCTCAGACGACGCGTTTTTTTTTTTTGCATAAACTGCTCAATTCCTTTGCACTCTACATCACGTGTGGTGTGGTTTACTGTCAGTGGTCTTCATTACAACCATGCCAAGCGTTTACTAACTGTGACGTTTGCCAGCCAGTACAGACTAGTAAGGGAAGTGTTTTGTCCAGCTGTCACGATTTCAGCAATTTGATGCATTTTACGACTCCTGTGTACAGTAGTCGGGTAACATCCGGCGTCATTTTGGATACAGTGACATTAATTTCAGTTGGGCACTGTTGGTCTAACACTACTGCGGGTAAGTATGTTACAGCCGCACTTGTGGTAATCACTCCTGCTTTGATAAGCTGTGTCGCGGTGGCTCCTCCCTCAATAAATAGGGCTGTCAACATATTGGCATTGCCGGAGCAAATCGTGAACAAACCGACAGACTAACGCTCTAGAGTCAGACCATATGGAGTGTGTTAAAGGCATGAGCGTTGTTGAAACAAGTGTCCATTTATTATTATATGACATTATAGACTATGAACTTAAGGTATCAGGGGTTGTCTCTGCTAAACTTAACGATATATGTACATGTTTTTATCCATACCTCAGCGTTAACTTTATGCTTGAGAGCTCAACAGACCTTAGTGTACTGCACTGTGTGAACTACTTTAGTATTTTGATGGAATTCATAAATAAAAAAATAATACAGAATTGTTTTACTTGACAAAATTGTAGACCATAAATATAAGTACTGTGATGTTTACCTTAAACTTTCTCTGTGTTTGTAAAGGAAACTGAAATGAATACAAATATAAAGTTTACCTTGTGTTTTATTTAGATTAATTTACAATTAAGTATACAGACAACCAACTGAAAGTGCAAATGATCTCATTTGTGATGCCGATTTTCAAGAAGGGAGATAGATCGCTTCACAAGCGGGCGTTCATGTCTGACAAATTATAAACATTCTTTCAACTGTTTTTGAATCAGTGGATACCGGACACGATTATGATGTGGTTTGCCTCGACTTCAGTAAAGTCTTCGACAGAGTTCCCCACGAAAGACTAATACGAAAAGTGGAGGCTCGTGGAATTGGAGGAGATATTCTAAAATGTATTAGGGCGTGGTTACAGGACAGGAAACAGCGAGTAAGCATTAAAGGCACTAAATTCGATTGGAGTATCGTCACTAGTGGAGTACCCCAAGGCTCAGTACTTGGACCATTACTGATTTATTATATACATAAACGACATAGATATCGGCGTAGACAGCATCATAAGTAAATTTGCTGACGACAC